GAGTAGTTTCCACAGCCATAACAAGCCTGGAGGCAATAATTGATTTTTAGTATTAATATGGAAATTGTTACTGTTTTATCATTCTGCTTCTAACATTATTTTCCCCATGAATCAAACAAATAATTTTGTTAACCTGCCCTTGTATATTGTTATGAGCTCCTAATTGTATTCCTAATTTTTTACTAAAGGAAGATTATGTAGTTCACTCACTGTTAGTAATAAATCTTAACAGGAATAAAAAGCCCATGTTTGCAACTATAGCTACATTTGTAGCTGAATCAATACCAAATAGAATAATTGGTGAATTTATTAAGGCCTCACATATAGCTTTCCTGCTGGAGTTAAAGTTGAAATAAAAACTCTAGGAAGTCCAAGTAAATTAAGGATTTTTTTGAAACTTGAAGTATTATAGGCTTATAGTTTAAGGACTTAATAATAGTGTTGACAAAGGGGACTGAATTTCGTTAAACTTGTTTTGGCTGGTAAGGAAGATTTTTCAATTCTGTTTGATAAACAACTTTGTGAAATCAATGAAACTTGATGGTTTAAGCATTGTCTTGTATACATTGCCTGATGGTAAAATCGATTGACAAATGGAAGTTGTGAGGCATTCAGTGAAGGCTTCATGAAGAGAAATACAAATGATTTTTATGCATTTATCCAAACTAGTTCTCTTAAAATCAAGTCTGGCTTTCAAGATGAAAGTTATGAAGGGTATATTTGTCGTTATAAACAGCAGAGTTGAATCAAAAATAAATATACAGAAAAGCCTCCCTGAGACAAAAATATTTTCTAAGTTGAACTGTGTATAGTAAAAACTTCAAATACCAGAATGTTTGGAGAATATTCTAATTAATCAGATTTTCTGTTTATTGGAGGATTTTTTGTTGTTGAAAAATATTTCTAAACATATTCCAAATTTATGTTTTCATATGGTATATGCAAAACACAGCTGATCTTTTATTAAAGAATGGAAACTTTTCTGAATTGATGGTTATTTTCTGAATACCAGTTATAATTGTTTTTATAGCAAGTAAATGCATATTATTAAATGATAATTTATTGCAAAGCACTCTGCTCTGTAGCTCAATAAACTCAAAGAACAATTAATAAATTACACCTTACTTTAAACAGTTATTAGCCTTTGTGGGTTTCTTAATGTAAAGAGATTATCATAATAGTGGTTAATAACTAATAATAAAAATTTTGTATGACTTTTTTCATATATGCAGGATGGGAAACATGGAAGAATACTTAGTTATTATAGTTATATGAATAAATATTTCTCCCAAAATCTGTTTAAGTTTCTGTAGAAAAGATCAGAATATACTAGCTATTTTAGAAAACTTTTCATTTAGATGCTTTCATATTAATTTTTATATATTGATATTAAAGTACAGGTGGCATTGTATGTATTTTAGAAATAATGCAGCAAGTTTATTAATCAATGTATAATTTCTCCAGCAGTAGTAGTTTAAAAATATAAGCTTGTTCTCATTGGAATTTAAAATAATTGAAATCTATATTTCATAAACCCATATCATAGTACCTTTTCTCAACAGACATTTTAGAAGTTTATAAAGATTTTGTTATAAATTTGCTAGGAGCAATAAAATAAAGATTATGGATTATAGAGACTCCTAGAGAGTCTCTATAGTATATTGGGAGGAAACAAAAGCTGGGCTTTGATATTGGCTGATAAGGATCATGTACATGAATCAATCACTTCTTGTCCCCTGCTTATTTGAAAAATGTTGTACTTATCAACAGAAATTCACTTTTTTCTTTGTGTTTATTAGTTTTAATAAGTGAACCTCCCACAGAATCAGTAAAATGTTCAAATGATCAAGAGTGATGTACTTTCTTCAGAAACAGACTCTTAACTATAGAGAACAAATTGGTGGTTACTAGATAGGTGAGTGGGAGGGAGGATGGGTGAAATAGGTGATGGGGCGAGAGGGCACTTGTAGGGGTGCTTAGGTGGCTCTGTCAGTAAGTGCCTGACTCTTGATTTCAGCTCAGGTCATGATCTCAGAGTCTTGAGACCAAGCCCGGCTTTGGGCTCTGTGCTGGGCAAGGAGCCTGCGTAAGATTCTCTCTTTCCCTTTCCCTCTCTTCCTTTCCTTTTCTCCTTCTCCCCCTCTCCCTGCCCCCTTTGCCGTTTCCTTCACACTTGCATGGTGTCTCCCTCTCTCTCTCTCTCTCCATAAAAAGAAAAGAAAAAAGAAAAACAGGAGCACACCTCTTGTGATGAGCACTGGGTGCTATATGTAAGTTTTGAGTCACTGAATTCTACACCTGAAACTAATATTAAACTATACATTAACTGGAGTATAAATAAAAACAAACAAACAGAAACAAAAAAAGAATGATTTTGTAGTTTCATTCTGAATTGAAGTTAGTCAAACAACCAGACAAAATAGTAAAAATTACTTAAGGTCAAAAGCAAATAACTTAACTAGAACTTAACCTTTCTTATGTATAATATTTTAGCAGCTACAACCAAAATTCACCATTCTCTTTATGCTAATGATAATAAAGTAACGTAAAACCTTAATTGTTTGAAAACCCTAGTTATTTTTAGCTAATTTCTCAGAAAATATCTAGGGTGTGTCTCTAGGTCTTATAGTCTAAAATGGTGGTTCAAGGTTTAGCCATCCATCCCCCTTCCAGGGGGGATGTGAAGGAAAGGTGTGAAGGAAAGACGCAAAGTGGGCTCCAACCTGTTTTAAATGAAGTTATGGCAAAGTGCCATACACCATTACCTCCAAGGGGAGCAGTGAACTGAAATCTTTATTTGAGGTGGCCACATGCTCAGCTGAAGGCTATGTAGTCTATGCCTCTGAAGGAAGAGGAGAATGCGTATTGAGGATTCCAGAAGTCTTTGCCTCCATCCCTAGCACTCTACAAAAGCTGCATTCTCAGTGGCAGCAAATGAATTCCAGCAATGTGTGTTGAGCGACTTGGCACTCAGAAAGGGAGGAGGCAGGGGAGTAGCTTGGAGGTAATAAGCTGGCGGGAACCTGGAGAGAGGAAATGATATTTAACATGTCTTTATATGTTAGATTTCAGGAACAGTCTAAAGATTATATATTGGTTTTCTAGGGATCCTGTAACAAAGTACCACAAACTATAAAGCAATAGTAATTTATTCTTCCACAGGTCTGGAGGCTAAAATTCCAATATCAAGGTATCAGCAGGGCCCCTGAGACTGGGGAGAAATCTTACTTTGCCTCTTCCTAGCTTCTGGTGATGGCCATCAATTCTTGATGTTTCTTGGCGTGCAGCTGTATCTCATTCCCATCTTTGCCTCTCTAGTTACATATAATTACATATAATTATATATATATATATATATATATATATATATATATATATATATATATATTTTTTTTTTCTGTTGTTTTCCCTCGCTGTGGATCTTTGTGTCCGCATGGTGACAACAGGGGTTTGCCTTCGATATATCTTTTAGAAAGATAATTCCAATTATAGAGAATATTTCTAGAAAATATACTGTTTGATGAACTTTAGACATGCAGACAAAGAAAAATTATGGTTGTTTATTTGTTTGGTTTTAGCAATGAGCTTCCCTTATGAGCAAAGGTCTACATTATTCTTCAAGACTTTTAGATTTAGATTTTTGTTCATTGTGATATGTCAGTGAGCACCAACAGTTGTTAAGAGGTCTTAATTATTGGAATGTATCCATCTAGATTTTTTTCCCTTTGTATATGGGAAGCTGTTTGTTTGAAACCCATTCCCTTGAATACCACCAAGACATTATGACTTGTCATTTCTGTGTGCCTAATGTGTAACTGTTTCTATGACTTTATTATGTAGCTCTGTTCCAGTGTCTTCAAAGTTTACACAGTATATCTTGTCTTACTTTGGGTATATTACATAACTTACTCAAAGAAGATTATTTCACACCCATTTCTTTTTCAACTTTCCATACTATTATTACAAGATTCATAATCTAGGTTTTTTTTTCAGTCTATTGAAGATTAAAGTTGGTACATTAAGTGATAAAGATCTTGTACAGGCAGGTATACAAATCATAAGTAACAACTAAAACTGTGGCTTCTAGAAGTCAAGGAAAATATCAACACATCCAAAATAAAAAACACCCATGTGTGTGTACCCTCAGGGCCCACCTGTGACAAGACTCAAGGTCCATGCTGTCCAAGATGGCAGACTGAGCTCCTTTCCTAGTAGTCCATCATACCTTAGAATACTAATGAATATACAGAGATGAGATGACCCAGTTGATACCAAAAAAAGCTCATATTTTATAGCATTTTTCTGTTTCTAGTATATGTTTAAAATGTATATACTACAAATGTGATGGTTTTAATTTTCCCTCTTTGTTCTGTTTCTTTGGAATCCATGCCATCTTACTCTCTGTGCTTAATAGTGCATGCAATTTAGGAATATAAAACTATGGTATCATTTACATGTCTTATCTAAAAAAGATGAACTCATAGAAACAGAGAGTAGAGTGGTGGCTGTCAGAGGCTTAGGGATAAGGAAAATGGGGAGATACCCCTCAAGGGTATAGACTTCCAGGTATAAGATGAGTAAGTTCTGAGGATCTAAGCAAGAACTTGGTGACTATAATTACTGTACTATATTATATATTTGAAAGTTGTAACAGAGTAGATCTTAAATGTCATTACAAAAAAGAAATGGTGATTAGGGTTAGGGGACATGAACGTATTAGCTAATGCTTCTGTGGTAATGATTTTAGGATATGTAAGTGTATCAAATACATTGTATACCTTACATTCATACAATGTTTATGTGTCAATCATATCATAATATAACTGGGGAAAAATAAAAGTGAAGATACCTATCTGTGTGGTTTATGGATGTTCATGGCATTCAAAATAATTCAGGGAATCAGAGTAGAGCATGTAGAATAGAGAGTTGAGGGAGACATTGTCATTGTGCATGTCATAGGAAGGTTATGTAACTTCCTCTGTATCTTCTTGTCTTGGCAGTGTGTGCAGGAACAGAGAACAAGCTGAGCTCTCTCTCTGACCTGGAGCAGCAGTATCGAGCTTTGCGCAAATACTATGAGAACTGTGAAGTAGTCATGGGCAACCTGGAGATAACCAGCATCGAGCACAACCGGGACCTCTCCTTTCTGCGGGTAAAGCTGTCTCTTTCTTTCTCTTCTCTTCTCTGTGAGTGGACAGTAGTGTCACAATGCATAAAGACAGACCAGTTTGCTTGTATTTGATGGTGATGCTTTTCTGCCCAGCAGGGACCATGACTATAGGCGGCAGAAGCTAAGAGATACCGAGGCACACATAGGAAAAAAACAAGAGTAACAGTGCCCTGGTGACTGACACCTTGAGTTCAGAGCAGTTACTGCTACTCCAAGATTGATGAAAGATTCTGTTAGCTTGTGGTACGTGGTATCTAGCAAGTCCGCCTTGTTCTGAATTGCAGGCAAGAGGAAAAGTGCTAGGTTGGGGACTAGGAGAATCAAGGGACCAATCAGATAAGAATTAGAAACTTTAGTAATCTCACTTTCTGTCCCTTTTCTGTCACTTTGGAAATTTCAGGCTACTCCATATTACTGTAATAAGACTAATACTGTTATCTGCAGAAGAAAAATGACATCTATTTTTGAAAACCTACAAATTTGTTAAATTAGACACAGGGAACTACACGTACTCATGTAGGTTGATCTACGTATGCATGTAGATGCATATGTGTGTATATAAAGTTACGCAGAGACAACCAGTCCTTCTGCAAACTTGTTTTGGCTCTCATTCGCAGCCTTAGTCTGTTAAACAGATTTTCAGTGCCTAATGCCTTCAGTTTCCTGTTTTGCTTTAACGAGAATAGGTAATAGAACAATCTGAACTTCAAAGAGATATGGTCTTCTGGCAAACCCATGAATTTATTCTTTACATAAGAACTAATATGTTTTAAATGACAGCATTGCTATAATATAGTTGATTTTTTTTTCAGTGATATTTACACATTTCTCAGGAGTACTGTCTTGTGGAAATCAAGACAAAGTGTGTCAAATACTGATACAGTAAACTACTTAGGAGATAGTGAATTATTTAAAGAACTATGGCAATTTAAATAATTTACACTTTAGTAAAAAAAAAAGGCAGTGATTTTTAAGTATTCCAAATGTAAAAATATATATAGGAGGGTAATAACCTCAGAAAAATAAATCACCGCAAAACTTAAGCGGCACTCTGAAGCTTACAATACCTGTTTATAAATTGACTGTCATACTAATATCGGTATAGGGACTGAAGGTGTTTCCATATTCTACTGCTTGATTGGAAGAGCACTGGTTCTATAAATTATATGTCAAAACTTGTTAATAATTGTGATATTTAGTTATGACATCTTTGTTTATCAAAAATAAATAGTAAAAATTATCTAAATTCTAGAATGAAGGAGACTTGGAAGGGCTTACCACATTTTTTTTTCTTTTTTGGACCATTGTGTAAAGGAGAGAATACATGTAAGCTATCTTAGAGTAGCCACATCAGAGGAATGCGTCATTAGTTATTACCATTTGTTTACAAGCTTCTAACCTGTGTTGATTATTTTCAGATAGATTTTATTCCTCAACCTCAAAATAAGATTTTGATGGCATATGGGCTGAAATGGTTAGAAATACCAAGAACCTCAATGATGTTATAGAAAAGGAAAGTTGAGATCCTAATTCTGAATCAGAATAGGTTAAAGAAGAAATAGGTTAAATGGTTTATTCAATCAGAGTAATATGAGGAAAATTTTAAAAGGCAGTCTCAGATCTTTGTTTTTCTTCTTGTGTTTTCTTGGCTTTGTTGTACATGGAATGAAATTCCACTGGCTCAACAAAAAATTGTCATGGGTATTGTAAATGACAGTCATTAAAATAAGCAATATAAAATGTTATGATTATTATATATTTTATAATTTTAAAATTCTTTAGCTCTTATAAGGTACCGAATACAGTGATGAAAAATAGACTCATCAATTTTTAATATTCAGAAATGTGAAAATAACCTACAGATCTTTGAGCAACATGGTCTGTATAGTTGGATAGTCTATCTTTTTTTGAAACCATTGTGAATAAAAAATAAGGTAAGTTAATACAATAAACAGACTTGAGAAAGGATAAAATAAGGATGACTAGGGTTTCTACTTGGAACAAGAAATAAGCTGTTTATTTAAAAAGGTAATTGTTGGTACCTTCAGTCACATCTCTGAAAGTTCATGTAAAGTGTGTACTGACTCACGAACACATCTTTATTTTCATCTATTTATTTAAAGATGGCTCTAATCTTTTTTTTTCCTTACTAATAACACCTTTTTTTGTTGCTTCACTCATCTACTATTTCTTTGGAAATTAACCATTTCTAGTCATGATTTTATATGTTCACTCAACAGATAATAGTCTTAGCCCAAGAATACAATAGCAAGTAATTCTATTATCCTTGACTTCAGCAATCTTACAGTCTTGTAGAGGGTTACAGTTGAGTAACACATAAGGATTGTATATGTGTGCGTTTGTGTGTGTGTGTGTATGTATTGTATGTTATATGTATATATGCATATATAAAAAATACAGTTGTGAAGACAGAAATGAGAAGCTAGAATCTAAATGCAGGTAGGGTGTTGTGGCATGGCTGCTGGGCAAAGAAAGGAATGGCTAATTCTGAAAGATTCAGGAAAGATTTCATCAAAGAGGTACTTGAATTGAATCAAGTGGAAAATGGGTAGGGGCTTACAAGGTGGGTGGATGGAAGAGAAGGGCATTCCAATGGGAGTATAATATAAGTGAAGGCTTAGAAAGAAGGCCCAAAGTCAGAGTTAATAAATGTGCACTTAATGTTTACTGTTGTAGATATTAGACATATGCATGCAAATAAATCACACATCATTCTCACCTTCATGGAATCTGTAGTGTGGTGTGAATGAAGATAAATTTGGGGATGGAGTAAAATATTACATTGGAGAGGTAGAGACTCATATCACAGATAGGTAAGCAAGGACTGTTAGCTGAAATATTCATTATGCTACTGTCTTGGGTGGGCCACTGTTTCTAACTGTATGTTAAAATATGCTGAAAGCTCTCCACTTATTTACAGGTTTTCTCCACTATTCAAAACTCACTTTATGTCGCTTTGCTTTTATGTAAGACCTACACGACTACCTGTTTTCGCTAATCAAGAGAAATCTGAAGGGGATTTTCACTTTTACAAAATGATAATTGCCTCTTTCCTTTGTACCATTTCAGAGTAGGGAGGGTTTAATAGGAACACTCTACTTCCAGATAGCAGGGAGAAACTGTATTATAAAAATTTCACTCCAGATAACTACATCATGGTTCATTTGTGTTCTTGGTGGCTTCCCTCCAAAGTACATAATCTGTCTAATATTGGCACCTCATAATAAGTAGAGTGGATGTAAAGGAAAACTAGTTCTTTTACATTATGCTATCATTCCAATAAGTTTTGAATTGTATGAGAGAGTAGTAATCTTGCATTAACCTAATCTATGCATCCCATAGCCTTCAGATATATTTATGTAACTGTAATTCACTGAGCAACCTCTTCCTGAGATGTGCAATTTCCCTTTCTCTCAGAATGAGTCAAACCTATAATGTATTCAGAGAGACATCATAGATAGGGATCTTAAATTTAATTCCAGAACTAATTTCTGTCTTTAAGAATGTAAAAAATTACTTTCATTTTTAAAAAGATTTTCCATCCTTATTTTCTTCTCTAATTAGCAAGTTCACAGCATTTTGTTTTATTATTTATTTTGTATGAAACCATTCTAATGTCTATAATTCATGACTCCGTACCCTAAAAGTCACTATCTAAATAGTCAGTGTCTAGGACAGTACTTAAAATATCATAAGCTTTCATCAAGTATTTGAAAAGTGAACAAATATTTTTCGTAAACTTTAATAATATTTTATGGATCATTATTTCATGAATTATATGTTCCCTAGATGAATATGTCCACCTCTCCTCATGTTATTTCAGTATAACATCACCACACATTAGCTGTGTGGACATAAGACACACACTGGGTTAATCCTTTCCTGTGAGTTTCTATATCCGTTTCTTAATCATTTGGGTACCAAAATAGAGTTATCTTTTTTTGTGTGTGGTTTGAATGTTAGTGAGGGCTGTGCAGACAGCAAAATGGAGCCAACACACCGAGAGAACAGGGAAAGAGAAAATGACCATTCACTCCAAAAACTGGTGAGGACATTTCCAGGCTCCAGTCTGCTTCTGATGACTCATTGCATTATCACCAGTGGTCCATAGGCTACTCCTGGAACTTTAGAGTAACTTTGAAGGGATTTTCTCTTTTTTTTCCCTTAAACTAGATAAGTTTATTTTCTTTTATTAAAACCAAAAATATCCCATCTAGTCCATCTCTCAACATCTCAAGAACTCAGAAAAAGTGGCCTTTTGAAATGGAAGATGTACTTCTATATTATAAATCTAAAAAAATAAAAATAAACTAACGAACAAACAAAAAACCACCCTATAATGTTTTGGAGATACTTCCTTAATCTTTGTTAGATATATTTTACTGAAACACTTTGAAATGCATTATTTTCAAGATGCTTTTATTATATCAACCTTGCTTATCTCTGTAAGCAGCTTTTCACCCAGCTTTACTGTAACCTCCAAGTTTTTGCATTTCTTCTTGGGGAAAAAAGATCTAGTTGACAATATTTAACATTAGACCCCTGAGACACCACGTAGTTGGCTAGATAAAGGCCCTAAAACTTATTTACTATGTACTTTATCACCGTCACAAGGTTAAGACATAATAGAAAACAGCAAGGCATAAAAATCACAGTTTTTGTGTTATTGTCTTACACTTTGTGAACTCTCTCAAACAAGGTGAAATATAGCAAATAATGGGAATGAACTTTTAGACCTTTTACCCTCATTAGAATTCCTGAGAGTTTTCTCTCCTTTGTCATTCCATTGGTCTTTGAGATTGCTGGCATTCAATAATTTAATGCTTCTAAAAAGGTACATTTTTAGACCTGCCAGTGTTTGTACTTTACATTTATTTTCTCTATTTTATATATTCACTTTAAGTAAATAAGTATTAGGTGCCAACTAAATGTAAAGTAGTGCAATATATAATGTAGTGTGT